TGGATGGGATAAATGCAGAGCACTAATTCCGAGTATGGGTCACCATACTTGGCCACATGTCACGTCACAAAAGCAAACAGCTCACGTTTTACTTGCTGCGCCACTGATACTTCGGAAATGCATGTGCATGTGCAAGCTTTTGCAGTGCTGTTAATCACAGCCAGGCATTGGTGGGCGGAGTTAACATAAATAGCCTCTGCCAACGAATTGGTCTATTTGTCCTTAGAGTAATACACTCCATTTCATTTTGGAGCTGCTTGACAGTGGAATTGAATTCTGTTTGCATAATTGAAATATTTTTATTTATACATTTTATTTATATATTATATTGCTGCAATATTATTATTATTTAATATCTTTGAAAGAATCTGTACTGTATAAAGCGCTATAAAGATAAAGGTGACGTCATTTGATGATCGGAAACGTGCTGTAGAGATTAAAGTACAATTTATGTCCTACTAACAATACTGTTTTCAGATACACCGCGATAGTTTGTAGTTTACATGTATATGTATATATGTACAAATACAAGTGTTACATTTATAATTACTATTCCCCACCTCCAGTTCACTCACGCGTTTGAAGATGAAACGTCACATGGAGCGCATTGCATTCTGGGAAACAGTATCCCATGCATCGTCTTCAGATGCATACATCAAATTTCAGCAAATGTAGCAGGTAATCCGGGCATTCCATGCATACAGAAAACTCACATACTAATCACAGTATACACAGAGCATACTGCAATATAGTATGGTAGTATGCCATTCCGAACAGCTTCTGTACTGATTTCAGTGTACTTGAGTTATATTTAACAGATTCTGGCAAATATAGTAAGTCATCCGGGTATTACATGCATACAGAAAATTTGCATACTATAAACAGCATACATACAGGATACTGCAGAAATAGTAAGAGTAGTATGATAGTATGGCATTTCGAACACAGCCACAGACTAGCCCTTCCACTTCAGTAACCTATTTTATTACTTATTATTCCTACATATAAACAATACGCTGTTTGACCTTGGTACTTGAATTAAATAAAATTTAATCAAATATATTATTGGGATTCAATGAATTACAGAAAAATTTACAAATTATTTAAGTTAATTGTAATATCAAATGGGGGGGAACCGTTTCGCTTGGTCAAAAATCACGTGAATCGATGTCATGTGACTAACCGCGGAAGTGAGACCCGAGTGGAAACGCTTTCCTTATTAAAAGCTTCTTTGCTGCTACTCCCAAGTCCGCTCCGCTCCAGATCAGAAAATGGTTGTGTAAACAGACGGTCTGTAAGACAGGTTGCAGTCGCTGCCATCGGATGGTTCTGGCGGGATATCATCAAATATCTGAGGCCTTATTTAAGAAGACATTGTCAGCATTATATGTGGAGGTATTTGTTTAAAAGCAAACCTAACATACGGGTTCTTCAGGGGAAGCTCGGCTAACTTGTTAGCTTAACACTGTTAGCAGACGTGCTGTGTGTAATATTCCAGTTTTCTTTCTTTCATTTAAAACTCTCAGCTACAACGTCTGAGCCAGGTTTCACTTCCAAACTCGAGTGGATATTATGTATTTAGCTGGCGTTTGTGGAAATAAATGCGTGAGTTAGCAAGTTTAGTTAGTTTGGTTGGGGTGACAGTGGATGCAGGAGGCCTGAGTCACATCTGCAGGACATATTTAGTCTAAAACACAATTTAACAGCTTGAAATACTCCTCTGGTCTCAGTATATAAGCTACATGATCAGCAGGTGTGCCAAATGCTCTAAAGCTTTAATAGTTTGCTAGCTCGCTAGGTCATGACATGGTAGGAGGGGAAGGAGCCTTGCCCACCAGCATCCTTACAAATTTCAGCATCTTTTGGGGCGTTTTTGTGGTGATATCTGAAGGTCAGTGCAGTTTTGGAGAAGCAGGATCATCATCAGTGTGTGCTGATGCTGTGTGACTGGCCTGCTCATCTGGATCTGCGCACATTGCTGGCTGCTTGACCTCAGCTGGTCTTTCTCCTTATCAAGTAACTGAACGACGACCACCATGTCCGACAACCAGGGCAATGTGAACAACAACAACGTCCCACTGAACAACAACAATAACGGTGGGCCGAACCGGATCCGGAACCCCGCGATGAACCAGAACCCCCTGATCAACGTGAGAGACCGACTCTTCCACGCCTTATTCTTTAAGATGGCAGTCACATATGCCAGGCTCTTCCCACCATCCTTCAGACGGATATTCGAGTTCCTCGTCTTGTTAAAGGTGAGCTTTGACATTCTTTTAATGTATATATAAAGTGTATTAATTCTTCCCAGAAGCCCTAAACACGCTCTGTTTTGATGCTCATTTGTCCTCACCTGTTAGGATGCAGGATGCTATGCTCACTAAACATCAGGATGGATGGCGGTCATCAGTGTCATTTATTTGGCAACTAACCCAAGGCTTTAGGTCTTACCTGGCAACTGTGTGTGTATATATATATATATATATATATATATATATATATATATATATATATATATATATA